TATATATATATATATATATATATATATATATATATATATATATATTTCTAATAATCTTTTGTCCGATTTATATTTTATCTTAGCTCCTTTCTTATAAGCTCCTTAATTCTGGATTTACACCAAGAAAAAGTAATGGAAAGTAACGAAGTAAAATATCATTACTTTCAAGTAACAATTTCGAAACGTTTTCAAAATTCGTTACTTTCAAGTAACAGTTTCGAAACGTTTTCAAAATTCTCCGACATTTCCTCGCGCAAAATTATTCTCCGCTATGATGCAGCTCTATTTAAGTATTGTCAGTATGAGCTTACTCAATGGACGTTTCCACTTTTATGATATTTTTCTCGCAACGGCAAAGATAAAAAAGATAGAAATGTAAAATCGTGAAATCTGAATTGTTAAGTTGCGCCGACTTTTATTCGATCTGTTTGCCGACCCTGACTGACGACAACCGCCAGTCGGATCAATATTATTCAAAATAAGAAACAGAGGATCAGACTACCAAGTTTGTATTTGGTGATTCTAACGATTTTACGCTTCGCCGTCCGTGGAGCGCCTCAGAGATCCTTAATTAACTGTAATTTGCATTCGGGCAACGAGGAGGAAGGAGACATAACTACTGTCTAGTCGAAGCAGCGGGAAAATAAGATACGTCACTAAAGAATCTTTACGTCCGTCACTTCCTTGCAATATGTATTCCGCGAGACTCTTATGTAACCGCGTGACTTTTACATTCGAATCAATCATCCCACGTGCATGTCGAGCAACAGTATATTCCGTATTGTTGTGATTCCATGTTGAATCTGCCATGCTAGTCCCGAGCGAGGCTCCTCCCGGACAATATAACGTAAAAACGAGCCACATTCGCGATGAGCAGGCGAAAATGTTTGCGGCAGCGGCTATAAATTAGTTACGTGACCGCACGAATAATTATCTGTGCATTAAGAGGCTTATCCGACAAGCGGCGCGCAAACGTCGCTTCGTTTGCAGCGTGTCGCTCCTCTTATTTCTTCCTGTTCGAGTTAAACACGCCTGCATATTAATGTTATTCTGGAACGTGTCGGACAGCGAAAACGAGTTATCGACAGTTTACTGGTACAAGCTTCGCATCACGGGCCACGATTCGAGAAATCGAAATGTTTCGCATGACACTGATTAAATCGAAATATCGGCGAAGCGGCCGTGTAATTTCCATAAAATTCTTATCGCACAATCGTTATCGCAGCATGAATCGAATATTAATGTCAAAAATTACATCGAATAAAATTAGTATCGCGAAAATTAAAAAGACCAAATGTTAGTAATCTTGCAAATTAATAGAAAAGATCTCATATACAGTACCTTCCATAAGTTTAGAAACTTAGATAAAAATAAGGATATTTAAATGGATATTTTATAATAATTCTGTTTCGCACTTACCTTCAGAAGATCGACATTTATGTCATTTGATAGAGCGAAATTTCAAGTTTAAGAATCCACTTTCTGTATTGTTGTGCGATAAAGTTTAACGGAGTCATGAGCAACCGAAGTCAAAATGTTCAATTTTACTTTACATAACGATTGAAGATTAGATTTTTAGGAATCAACGAGCTCCAGCCTTGGCTTGCTTTGTTCCAATTGGTCAAGTTCAAATTTTTAATCGTCAATCACCAATCTAGTGCAATTTGGCTTTCATGAAAACGAAATGAACAAAATGGAAAATTTTCTTCTCAATTTAAGACATGCCACGAACGCAAGAAAAAATCTGACAAAATTTTTCGTTTCTTCCCTGTAAAAGATTGAAGTTTTCTATACAATTTACTTTCTGAAAAAATTTCTCTACAATTTTATGTTTCCGTACTACTAAGTGTTAAAGTAAAATTGAGCATGTTGACTTCGGTTGCTCATGAATCCATTAAACTTCATCGCACAGCAATATAGAAAATGGATTCCTGAAACTTCGCTCTATCAAACGACATAAATGCCGATCTTTTAAAGGTAAGTGCGAAACAAAATTATTATAAAATATCCATTTTAATATCCTTATTTTTATCTGTGTTTCTAAACTTATGAAGGGTACTGTAAAAAGAATGTTAGAAATATATAGAAATAAATAATTTTTTTATAGTTTTAAGTAATAGACGAGTGTGTTAAGTGTTCGAGCTATGGTTACCCAATCAGCCAAATATAAGAAGGAGAACCAAGAAGAACGGAAATCACGAACGTCAAAACACATTGACGACGCAATTCAAAATCCGATATTCTCAGAGATGAATGGCGAATGTCTCGGTCCGCTTCGGAGCTTGCTCGGTTGCACAATGAATTAAAGTGATCCTTGACACGCGTATCGTCTTCGACATCCTACAATAATTCGCGGGGCTCGGCGGCGCGCCGGCAATAAACGGTCATGAGAACGCGCCGAGCATTCAATCGAATCAAACGAGAACAAATTGCGTGTCACAGGGTTATGACGGCCGATGCACTAATGTCGATGTGGCGCGGTGCTTTCTCGTCCGCGGACAGGTTTCGCCGAACCGGAATGGCGTGGATTGCTTGCGTTGCACGATGAAAAGTGAAAGACTGCAGTTGAGTGCGCTATGTTGCACCATCTCGCCGCGAAGCCGGCCTATCGAAGCAGCGAGTCGCGTCATCGGCGCGCGGTCGCCGCGATCAGCGTTACTACTTCCATCGGCATTATCTTCTGCGAATAGTTCCAGCTAACACGAGCGCAATGAAAGATCCATTGTGAAGCTTCACAAAGGCTGTCGGATACGCAGCCGCTCGAAGAGACGACCCGGAGCCGTTTCGGCGATCCGGCTCTCTGGACTCTCGCATGACACTACCGAAGACGTCCAGATTACCTTCGTCGCAGGTCATTGTCCTGGAAAAGATACTCTCAATGAAGTCTTAGCCGAGTGGATTTTAAATCGCTGTCACACAGAATCAAATGAGGATATGATTCATGTCATTGTTCTCGATAAATTCACGTAATTCAAGCGAGTCTAATCTGTCAGGAATTTCGTTACCTTGAGAATCGTCGAGTGAAAAACAGTAGAAACGAGCCGGCATGGTACGTTACGATAATCTTACACACGTTATATAATTATTGTCACGGTTATCGCTCACGATAACCGTTTCAATGTATCTTTTACGATGTACATGTTAACGACGACTTGAGTAATAAACCAGCGAATGCCGTCAGTGTGACACAGCAAGTCGATTATGAGACCTGTTCTTCGAAATAAACTCGTGGAAAACGAAAACTTCCAGATGCCAGAGTGAAAGATCGGTATTGTATCAAGTCGTCTGTCAAATAAAATGGAAAATGAAATTCTCAAATTTCGAAGGATTAATAATTCTCACGAATAAATCGACGAGATACTTATTTAGACGTTTAACGAGCGTCTCGTATTTTCCTTTCGATAAGCAGAACTTTCATGACAATTTAATGGAGAAATGATCAATCTTTCGCATCAATCTACTTTCCACGCCAGAGAGAAAGACTCGCGATCGACCTTGACTTGTAATATCGCAGCAGACTGAACCAGACTGCACGGTCAATTTACACAGGATATCGGCTGCGAGACCTATCGGAATCACGTTTTCTCACGAGCTGCCGCGACGTTTTCCTCGCAAACCGGGAAATCGTCGAGCATCGGGTCGGTGGACAACGTCGGTCACAGTCGGAGGAGCACGTTCGGGCGCTACGCGAGTGGACTGGACAAGAACTCCATTGTTCGTACGCTGAAAGACGCAGTTATGAGGGTGTACGCCGCCTCGACGACGACGTCGTCGGCGACGTCGCCAGATCATCGCTATTCCGTTTAATATGCATAATATAAGCGGCGCGCGGACGAACGAGGAAGTAGAACGATATGTAAATAAAATCCAAGGACGACGACGAATGCGAGTGCACGTATCGACATGTGTTCCCGCGTCTACGTGAGCGGACCGCCGAAAACTCATTGATATTCCCCGCCGTCGTCGTCGTCGTCCTTAAGTTTCAGCTCGTAAGTTACCAAGCGTGTTGCACGAGCACGCGCGAGCTGGATCCTCGTTGCGAGGCAAGCCCATATAATGTTATTTTCACGCGCCGGATCGCTGCTCAAAATCCGGTTAGAGGAACATCGTGAGCACGATCCGGAGGAGCCGAGGCAGAGCAAGAGAAACTGTAGCACTTCCATGAACATAATATACATAATATACATAATATACAACGCCCTTCGTTCTGTCGTCTAATTGAGTAAAGCCAACATCTAGAAAGAGAGCGAGAATAGAGGGGCTATAGTTTTCTCTCTATTTTGTCACTTTTTTGTTGCGCGTGCATCTATTTCTCGTTTCCATAATATTATAGAGCGCAACAGCACCCCGACTGATCTGGGAAGCAAAAGTCTTAAGGGACGTCTACATTGGAAGTAAGTAGGAAGTAAGAGTAAGAAATTGACCAACCATAGTCGAATGTGAGAAGAATAATCAACTATGATTGGTCAATTTCTTATTCTTACTTCCTACTTCTTATTGCTTACTTCCAATGTAGACGTCCTTTTACTTAAATCTTATTGTACACTTTAGGTTTGTTCGAGTTGCTTGTACTTTTCACACTTTTACACCTAATGCCCGTTGCACACTAGTGCACTCCAAACAACACAATTTTTCAAAAATACATTCTGAAGACGTTTTCAGGACGGAGGGACGTCATCAGAATATTCTTAGGACGTCCTTTGAAAGTATGAATTGTCTGAAAATAGCTAATATCCAATAAGTTTATTCACATTAATTGAAACTTTTTACACTTTCACACTTAGTGCACATTAATTCTTTAGAGGTTCTAAAAATGGCGTCATGTTTTCCGTTCGTGTTATGAGTGTAAATACAATTCTGATACACTTTTCTCTTGCTTGGGATCAAGTATAAAAAGTGTATTAAAATTGCAATTACACCCATAACACGAACGGAACTTATGATTAGAACCTCATTTTTAGAACCTCCAAAGAATTAATGTGCACTAAGTGTGAAAGTGTAAAAAGTTCAATTAATGCAAATAAACTTATTGGATATTAACTATTTTCAGACAGCTCACATCTTCAAAGGACGTCCTAAAAATATTCTGATGACATCCCTCCGTCCTAAAAGCATCTTCAGAACGTATTTTGGAAAATTTGTATTGTATGAGGTGCACTTGTGTACAACGGGCATTAGGTGTAAAAGTGTGAATAGTACAAGCCACTCGAACAACCTTTTGTCTGTGCAGAAAGAGACAGAGAAGCTGATGTACATGTTGGCTTCACTTTTCTGACTGTATGCGGCGTCTATGTATATTATGTCTATGCTTCCACCTCAATAAATATCAGAACGTTGTTTCTTTAGCGACCACTAAAAGGACAAACTGCCCCGTTGAATACACAGGATAGGTTCTAAAATTCATCGAGGCAAAAGCGTTGCCATCTTCCCCCCGCCAATTGCATAGGCGACCTCGAGCGTCGTGGCAGCTTTCAAAGATAGATCCAGACCCGGAAACGAGATCTGCGTGAACACTGCACGCAGCGCGGCGAGATGAAGGACGATGAGTCTCGTAAGTTTTGATTTTCTTTTTAATAGCAGTAATGATTAGCGCTCTCGCGGCGCCTGCTCCGCAAGATGCTGTGGCAACGGAAGGTCAAGGTCTGGCGGCGATCGTCACATGACTCTTAACATGCTACAGCTCACCACCCCTCGTCTCGGTGATCTACCTTGCCGGAGGCTGAGTCGCTTCAACGCTAAGTCACATGGATAAACGCTCGATAGCTTATGAGCAATCAACTGGAGAGAGAGAGAGAGAGAGAGAGAGAGAAAAGTAAAAAGAAAAGAAAAAACGGCGACTTGTGTATAAAACAGAACACTTATTATTATATAAGCCTACGAACGCGGAAAATATCATGTCCGTATGCCTCATAAGCCGACTTCGTGCAATAAAGAAGTCCTCACGTAACGTTATCTCGTTATCAACGCTCGTGATCAAATCTAGATGTTCCTTGAAATTGTTCGAATACATGGATCGCCGACAGAGACTACGCGAGTGAAGGTCGAGAGAAGGCCGAAATCACGCCGGCGAGGATCTTTCGAAGAGAATAGACGCATGTTTTTATGACCGGGCAAAAGAGCGATAAATAACGATTTAAAGGGACCGTTGCCTGATCGGTGCTGGAGTTTCCATATTCGGTAAACACAAGGCGGAACCGGAATGAATAGCTCGGGCAGGATCAGACAGCCGTCAAAGGTACGAGCAAACGGAGCGTGGCGGAGAAACGGGAACGGCGAGGAAGAGCGCGCGTAACTCGTCGACTCGAAAACTTATCGATCCGTCTTCTATCAGTCTATCTACATCTGTTAGAACGATTTGTTAGAGTGAGCTTTATCGAATCCGCGGGCGCGCGACTCGCGCTCACTCGTAACTTCCACCACTTACGAGGAGGAGAGGTGGGCCGAGTAGCTCCAAAATTAAGTATTTGACAGGCGGAAGCGCGCGCGCGCGCGCACGCTACATTGACGGAATGACAATACGATTAATGCGACGCGGCGCGTCCGTCTTCGGGGAGAGACTTCAGACTCCGAGACGGGTACTTTGCCCGCTGTAAGATCAAGTCTAATGCCGCGGGCGCATTAATTAAAATGCAGCCTTGAACCGTTTCCTTCGTAAATGCTTTCGTGATATATACCATGTTCTCTGCGTAGTCTTCTATCTTTCTTTGTTTTTCTATTTCTCTCCATCCCGGCTCTGCTCTCCGATCGTCTCGTGCGTAAGGAACCGAATTCCCACCGCCTAAAGGCTCAAGCCGACGCTTCCTTAGGCACGACAAAATAAAACAATCGTCTCGCTTACTATAAGGCGGTCGCTCTGTCTCCCAGATGAGCGTGCCGCGATGAAAGTACACGCGGCATCTCTTCTTCTTCACGATGAAGGTGTTGAGCAGCACCGACTTGGAGGAATGATCGTCCGCGTTCTCCTGCATCATCCTGCTGCTGCTGCTGCTGCTGTTGCCACTTGGGGATAACGCGCGTTCCAGTGGGTGTCGCGTTTCAGCTGGGACGCCGCGACGTCATCTCGACGTCGCTGATCGATCTGCACCGTGAGTACAACGATGACGACCACGGCAATCACGACGTCGATGACGGCGGTGACGATAACGACGACGACGGCGACGGGAGCCGTAAAAATCGAAGCGAGGATACTTCTCGTCGCACACGCGGACGTTCTCACACGCAACACCGTCCCGGTCGGACGCGCGAGCGAGACTGACTGCGTCTCGTCGCGACGCGATCGACAAGGTCCGCCGCGGCGAGAGAGCGAGGCGAACGTCGCGTCGCGCGCTCCGTTTCCGCGTCCTGACTGCTCCCACATGTTATATCTGTGAAAAGTGCGAATTACTTAACGATAGATTGAAAGAAAAATAAAGAAAGAAAGGAAGTAGAAAAATAAAGAAAGAAAGAAAGAAAGGTAAGTAGAAAGAGACAAAGACAGGGAAAGGAAGAAAGAACATTGTGACAAAAACAGTGAGAAAATAGAATGATAAGAAACAGCGACAGATAACGATAACATAAAGGACAGGATCACAAACAAAGGAATGAAAGTAACAAACGATAACGATTAAAAAGAGCGCAGTAATTACTTCCCTCCGGAAAGCACTCAGTTTTCGTGGTTATTCCGTCGTGGTTTCCAATTTTCTTCATATCTGTTGTTATCATCTGTTATAGTAGTGACTCTTACAATTGGATCTTATCTTCATGCCAAGGCTCCGAATTTGTAATTCCAAGATATCGTGCGCGATATTTTGATAATATTACATGCAGAAAAAATATTCTTCTACTGCTGAAGAAAGAGATTACTCAATTTACTTTTTTTTCTTAAGTAACGCTCATCTTCAATAAAATATATTGTCCTCGAAATGCATCTTGAATAAATTTAACGCTTATGATAAACTTTATACTCGCGAGTATATAAATTTGCGAAATATATACCTGAAACAAATAACATTTTCTTGAATACAGTACGTGCTTCTTTAGATTACGAAAAAGTTATGGACGGTTACTGAAGAGGTTATTGGAGGTTATTCTTTGTTTAGTGATAATGCATATTATCTAGAAATATATTCCTTGTATATATTGCACATGAAATCGTTTAATCTACGCTTTGTTGCTTAATGTTCACTAATTAATTAGACTTGTTCAAAATATTGATAATTGCAGGACTTATTCACAAAGCTTACTGCACAATCCACCGTTTCAAACTTGCAATATTTCGCAAGCGCTCTCTAAACTATTTAAACATTCATCTTCAGTTCTATGTATCAACTGTCGAGCAATTGTTTCATTTGAGAAGCAGATATCGTTGTTACCGACGCCCTACCGATATATGTGATTACAGTCGGCAATGAAGAACTCTACTACTCAAAACGGTGCATTAATATTCATGAGCTCTTATTTCACGTCCGCGTCACAGAGCTAATTATTAATCAACACGGATCCACTCATTATAATGTTTCCTTTAGTTTTGCCACATGCGAGCAGTTGCAGCATTGAACATAATTGATCTAACAAGAGACGTTGACTATTGTTCTCATCGAAATATGGTAACAATGGTGAATGGCGCGTAGGTAATTCATATTAGTCCCAGACAGCATAAATGCCCAAAATCGACTTTAGGAAGTCTTTAAGAAATCTTTAAGACAATACCTTATAAACTTTTAAAGATGTCTTAAAGACGTCTTATGACCCGATTTTGGACATTGTGTTGTCTATTGCAAATACCCAGTAAACACAAAGTAACAGTAACATAACATCAATGTTACAATTTCCTATTCAACAATGTAACTGTTATATAACGCGCGTGTTATATAACAGTTACATTGTTGAGTAGGAAATCATAACATTGATGTTATGTTACTGTTACTTTGTGTTTACTGGGTAGTATGTAAATATTAATTTCATTGATAACCAAACGATTAATAACTTCCATAATAGCGCAAGTATTTCCAAATGCGTATTACCCAGGTAGCAGAAACTTCTAAAAAACTTATGAACATTTAAGACGTGAAGGACATCCTACTTTTCAGACGTTTCTTAGAAGTTTCTTCTACCTAGGTCCTACTTATTGTAAAGATTTTCTCTCCCATTGAAAAAAAATTCGTCGCAGAGCTTGGGAGAACTCCAAGAAAATCGTTGAGTCCGATTTAGGAGAGATAAAAAAATCACAAGCCTCGTTTTCCTGTATTGCTTCATCGATTGATCGTAACCTTGAGGAGCGCACACGAGAGACTTGAATCTCGTGTGATTTCATCCGAGATACAAAATTTCGCCTGCGACAACGATTCACCGGTTGCGTTGACGTGATCTGAACGCGGTGCAAATATTTGATCGGCAAACACAATGTATTCTGTCGTACAAG